CTGGCTTCTTTACTTTTCACTCCATCCAGGAAGAGCACACGCCAACTGCTGAAACTTCCTTAGCCTGACGAAGGGTTTTTGAACCCGAAAGCTTGCTTAATAATTATTTTCCAACTATTTGGGTTGGTCTAATAAAATATATCAGATTCACCCAAGGAATCTTGTCTGCCTATGTCCTTAGACCAACACAGCTACAAACTACACGCCTGAAAGTCCTTTAAGAAGTCTGCAGTTTACTTGCACTTGGTTTACTGATCATCTAAACTAGAAAGTGCATCCATTTTCAATGCTATGCAGCCAAGGAATTTACCTGTAGAACACCAGCAATCAAGTCAAGGGGCCACAGCCCAAGGAAGTTTGTTTGGCTGTGATATTTAATAACTTACAGGGGAGTAATGTTATAAGTCATTTGACTGCAGATCTGCAGATGTCTTGACAGACATGACCCTCTGAGTGACCAGAGGGAGGTCATCTCCCACGCTAGTTCACTTCCCCACCTGCAAGCAACTTAAAAGCTGTTCGGGGAATCATTGGACTAAGTGGCTAGGAAGGCTTATAGGTGAGGACAAGATACTTCAGCCAGAGGCAGTGAAGAAGGGGAATGATTCGAAGAGGTCAAAAAAGGCAAGAAATGAGGATGTGCAGGGTTTAGGATTTCAGGTGGGGTAAGGAGAAGCAACACTGGCTTACATGGAGGCCAGAGCAGAAGTGGCATCTTCTAAGAAGCTAGTTAAACTTGTAATTGTTTTAAAAGTAGCTACATGGGTATGGGAAATTAATTTCTCCTGCAGAAATATCTCCCCTGCTAGAAGCGACTATTTCATAGGATTAATGTTTGTTTTAAAATAACTCACCTATTTCCAGTAGGCTCTCATCATTCAAAGAATGATGAAATGAGAAGCACCTGAGAAGTTGCAGATGTGAACACTGCTGAACAATCAGCTTTGCTGCATGCTTTATTCCATACACAGCAGGGAGGTAAAGTTCTTCCAGATTTACAAGACACCCTAAAGCAGATGCTGTAGAAAGAAGGAAAAGAAGTGTAGCACTCTTGGATGAAGACAAGCATAGACAAGAATACAGATTTGTAAGGACTCTTGCTAGCCTTGGCCAGTGATAATGGCCAGATCCACTGGAAAATTTCAAAGTAAAATATATATATGGCAAATTATTGGTGTGTGAAAATACACACGAATGGTTTTCAAAAGAATTTTTCCTTTCAATTCTCTAGTCCTTTCCACTGCAGAGATTACTTTATCCTGCAATTTGCTTGTGTAACCCTGGCAGCAGGGATACCTGCAACCACGTCCAAATTTTTGGGATGCTGGGGTGCCAATAGGTCTTGGTCAACTTCTACTCTGTCTACAGACTGGGAGCCACCACTCAGTTCAGTGCTCTCCCGTGGTTCTCCCCATACCAGACCAAACGCTAAATGACTATTTACAATAATACTGATAATAGTAACGGAGAAATTAACAGATTCAACATCACATAGATAGCAAACATAATATTTTCAATGAGCTCGATAATAATCTATACCAGCAAATAGAAGCAAATATTTATCACATAGCAAAAGCAATTATGTTATCAAATTTAGCACTCAGGCAACTTATAACAGGTATATACACCTAATCAGCTAGATCCCCACAGAATCACTCTGCCTCCAAGAAAGCAATCAACTGTGAGATGGTTGCAGCTAAGCACCTGTGGAGCTGTGCTCGCTCTGCCTCAGAAGATGTGTGACAATACTGTTATCTGGTCAGATGGAGTCATCTGTCAGGACCTCAGGTGCAGCTACTCCAGTCTTTCCTGGATCCCTGCAAACAATCACACCATTGCCAAATGCTTCCCCAAGGCAGCTCCTCTGTGTTTGGCACCTGAAGTGCCCCTTCTTGGCTGTACTTTGAGCTCTCTGCTGGAGTTGTCCCAGAGAACATTCTCTAGCAGCCCCTGTCCCTGATTCCATACCAGTGAATCCCTGCACCCAGGGAACTAAGGAGTGGGGAGAGGAACTGGTTTGCACAAACCCTGCTCCTTTAGTAAAGGATACCAGCCAATCCTGGGTACTCAGTAGCTTATTAGGGGTGTGCGAAGTGGGCTGTATTCAGTTCGGATTGGGATTCGGCCCAATGTGGAGAACAGTGATTCGATTCGCTGATTCGGATCACTGTCCCAATTCGATTTGGCTGAATCCAAATCTGAAGATTAGATTCGGAGAATCAATGATTCAGCCACAGACCATTTTAAATGGTTGTTCTACATACCTCGAGGTACCAGGCACAGCTTGTGAACGCTCCTACAGGAGCATGCGCCCCCCACCCCATGTGCTTGGTGGCAGACCCGGAAGCAGACCAGAATTACTCCTCCCCAGGAGGCACCAGTTGCTGAGCCAGAGAGCGGGGGTGGGGTCGGGTCCCTCGTGCTCCGTGGCAGACACGAAATTGGACTGACATGGAAGCGGACCGGAAGTGCTTCTGGTCCGCTTCTGGTCCACTTCTGGGCCTGCCGTCAAGTGTGCTGGGGACCCCCCTACGCTCCTGTGGGATGCTCCATCTGCCTCACCATTGCAGTATACACAAGCCGCCCGGTACCTTCAGGTATGTAGAAAAAACATATAAAGCTGTGTCCGTGTCCGAATCGTCAAATCTCTCTGAATCAAACTGGAGGCTTCCGATTCAATTCGGAAAGATTAATGGGTCTCCGATGCAGAGATTCAGCTGGTGAATCAGGCCAAACCTCCTCCAAACCAAATCAGCGACCAAAGCTTTGCATGGCCCTATAGTTTATGGCTCCCTCTGCCCTCAGTAGCAGCTCACTCAGCAACACTTCTTCTGCCAGTCATCCTCTCAGAAGCAACTGTCCTGGTAGCAGCCGCCTCAGAAGCAGACCTTCTCCCCTGCAGCCCTCACCTACTCTCTCTCCTCTTCTTAGCCCCGGGCTTCCCGTCCCAGATTTGCAGCTGTCCAATTGCGCACATGCATTCTGCAGCCTTCAGCTCCAAGCTTCAGCTGCTATATCTGTGTACAGCCTGCTGCAAATCCACATCCCAATGATACAAACACCCTGATTGAGTTTGCAAGCCCTGGGCAAACCCTTAAGCACCTTTACACTTGTTTGGGAGGCTTGTCAGTGGAAAAGGGAAAATATTTCCACTCAGACATTTTGTGAGGGGGTCAAGATTTTTGGATGCGTAGAAGACGTTTATTAGCCCTAAGACTTGTGAAGCGGTCCAGTGTGCCTTCTGAGTGTGTTGAAGGGTGAAGGGAGGTCATTCCTTCTTGTAGACCTCTGGAGTTCAGTAGAAAAGTTGGATGGGAGCACTCTCCCCAAAACTATCTCCCTTCTGAAACCTCAGCTATTGCCCAGCTCCTGCTGCCTCCCTCTGGGTTTCCTGAACTAAAACCTGCTCTTGCAGAACCTAGAATATCTGCAGGTAATGCGTTCCCAGGAGATGAGCATTCATACCTTAAAAGATTAGGTGTTTAAAATCGGTAGCAAAAATAATCTTTGTCTTACCTATTAACTAGAAGTTGGAGGTTGAAATTATATACGAGTAAAAACAGAAAACAATATTTGTCTGAACAAAAATCTTTTCTTCTCTCAGTTAACCAACTTTTGTTTTCTTGTTTCTTATCTCCTCAGAAAGTCATGAGCTGTCATCATCACATCTTTCCAGATAGATATCCTTCCACTCTCCCATTGTCCTTTTTAACATTTTGTGTTAACCTAGGTAACAAGGCCTCCTTTACACATAAATGGGCTGCTGTCTATTTTTTTATTTTTTCTTTCCAGTCCACTTTAAATATTCTCAAAGAATATCTTGATTCTCAAAGCTGCTGAACACATGTAGGCCCCCAAGTTAGGACATCCAAGAGAGCTTCACTTAACAATTCATATATTTCAGAAGGCTCCAGGTGTGTGTTCACTTTGTGAGACTTGAACCACTGGTTCTAGACCTCTTAAATATTTCAAATCTCCTGCTTAAATCACTTTATCACCTCTACTGGTATGGCACTGATTCCTAGAAAATGATTATTATTCTTAGGTAACATAATTAATTCAGATTTAAAAAAAATAGAATGAAACGAAACCATACCAAAGGCTTGGGAAGCTTCCTCATCAGTAATGTATTGCTCATTAAGGTCTAACACTTTGAGACACAGAAAATTTGGCAGAATATCAGCTAAAAAGAGAGAGAAAGAGAAATGAGCATTTTGATATTCACATTTTAAAATTATTATAACAAGAACTAATACAGGTTGCTTTTTTAATGCCTTGTCTTCCAAATCATTGATGGTTAGGCTCTCATGTAATCCATGGGTTCTTAAATCGAAGGGACGCTTGTTTAAAGATTATTTATTACCACGTGTATCTCTAAAATTCTTTCCTGTGCTCAGATGGGTTAAGTATCTGATACCAGCTTGCATTATCAATTTCAAAGCAAGTAAGATCCTGAACATGCATATACAGTTCAATGTATATGATTTTCCAATGCAGATTTCTTCATTGATTTGTCTTCTGACTTGAATAGTAATTTCTTAGCCCAAGAGTGCTAATATGCTGTTTGGAAGTGTATTTAACCTATTTTAGGTATATGACATACAGAAATCGTATCTGACTGTATGACTAAGAGGGTTCTTGCTGGCTATGTGTTCAGTTACACTACCATGACACAAATGTAGACATTTCCTATAAAAACATGCTTACTAATCATTGCATCTCCTCCTGACAGGTTCTTTGGAGGGCTGCCAACAAATTTAGAAACAGGAGACACCTACTCCCACATTGAAGCACCCTGAGGACATTGAAGTGAAAAAACTGCACCTCTTCCCTTGACTTCAATGGGAGCTGCAGAGGCTTAAAATCAGTTCTCACCTATTTTGGTGCATTAGGCACCTGATTTTGGAAGTTTGGCCAGATGATGTTTGGTGCTTTCTTGAACTTCACCAATTCAGTATTAAGATTATGCTATATTTTAAAATCAAATGGATTGGATTAGAGTTTTCTTGCATTAAAGTTCCCTAATATTAAGATATTTTGTATCTTTATATAGTCAACTTTTCCAAGCTGCTGAGTTTTAGAGGGGGCAGGGAGAATGAACAGAACAAGAGGTGCATAAGTCAGTGACTTCCTACCAAAGGATAACATGTCTCGGTCTCTCATAAATGATCCGGTAAACCTGATTTCCATTAATTTTTTGCAAGAAGAAACTGTAGCCAGAAGAGAGTCACAGTCAAGGAAGCTGGAAGTGTTCAGATGAAAGACACGGAGGTTCTGAAATCCCTGAATGAATCCAACTGTTAAAGGACAAAAAAAATCATACGATTAATGGATGAAGTTTCAGAATCAATATGGTTTCATTAGCAGTACCTATACATTTTCTTTAAGGACATGGAGGAAAGATATACAGTAAGGAGTTAAGTGAATGCATTAAATTATATTTTAAGACACCCTCTGCCCCCCCTGGCTTCTTGCACCATGCCCCTTTATTAAGGAAAATTTCACCTCCAGAAGTGCCTTTTCTTTTTCACTGTGTTATTTCATACTAAGAAGAATGAGACCCTAGGGCAGCAGTGTAATTAAAATTAAAGGGTAAAAAGAATGGAGGGACTTCACCCACAGTATAATCTTTTTGTTTGGAAATTTCAGTACTGTATACAATGCTCCATCCACACATTAAAATGCAAAAGGAAAATTAATTAAACATTTAATTTTAAAAAGCCCCAGAAAAACAAGGATCTCTCAATCAAGAACCTCAGTTGCTGAATTTGGTAACATGGGACAAGGGAGAGCAAGCAACAGTGGTGTTCACCCTCTTGTGTTCCACACCCACACCAAAGTTGTGGGTCCAGCAGGAGCTGTGCCGACAAGCCAGTGAGCTGAGAGATCTCATTGCACTTGTACCATACAGCCAAAGGGGGTATGACTGCAATCCTCAACTCCCTCCCTGCTGGTGGGTATTTGCAAAACCACTCTTAACTGGCTCTGCTCTTTTCTAGCAGGGAAGTCCCAGAGGATGGTGTTGGGCAAATGCTCATCATCCTGTGCATCACCTAGCATTCCATCTTTTCACCTCTCCTGTTTAATTGTGTAAGAGGCCACTGGGCTAGATCATGAGGGGTTTGAAGTGAGGTGCCATCAGGATGCTGTTGACACCCAGCTGTCTCTCCCTCTCTCACCTGATCCAGGCCCTGAAGTCTAGATCCTTACCCAGAGCCTGACTTCACTAGGGCACTGAATGCAGGTGAACCAACTGAAACCGAATCTAGACAAGGCAGGGGTGATGGATGTTGGCAGACCTCATGGCTTGGGTTGGAATACTGTTGGAGGTGGAGGTGGTACAAGATGCCCCTAGCCCCTGTTGCAACCTGAGAATCCAGGTACAGCAAAAGATCCAGAAGCACCTCAAGGCCGCAGGCCTGAGGGACATGGGGATGCTGAACTGTATCAATGATAGGTGTCCCAATCCCCCCAACCCCAACTGTGAGGTCTGCCAACAGTTTAATTTGGTTCATCTGCATCCAGTCTCCAAATGCAGCCCAGCAATGGATATCGATCTAGATTTCATTGCCTGGATAAGATAAGAGAGAGCCAGCTCTGCACATCATCAGCATGCTGATAGCACCTCAAGCCAAATCTTCTCATGATCTAGCCCAGTGGCCTCATACCCAATTGAACAGGAGGGGTGAAAAGGTGTAACACTGGGGGACACCCAGGAGAGAACTAAGAGATGCCAAGTACTTGCCCATCACCATCCTCTGGTACTTCCCTGCTAGGAAAGATCAGAGCCAATCAATAGTGACCCTGCAAATACCCACCAGTGGAAGGTCATTTTCAGTAGCTGTGTTTCAGAATTGGAATTCCCTCCCTGTTGTGGCCTGCCAGAATCTGGGCCTGGACATCTTCAGTTAATTGGATTATTAGTGGTTATTCAGGTGATCTAGATTCAGCTCCCAATTTTGCCCTCTTTTACCGCTCATGGTTTGGCAGAGGCTTTGACCGCTGTAGATAGCATGTACAGCAAGGGAAATACCTCCAGTTGGTCTACACTGATTCCTTCTCCTGACCAATTTGGAAATAATAGTGAAAGGTTAAAAACATTTCTTCTTTGTTGGAATGACAAGGCCAGCTTAAAAACTGGGAGACAGGCAGGGGAAAGAATTCTGTTGGAGACTCAAGGAAGGATGCAATGTTATCCCTAAAGAAGAATCTAAAACAGTTATTTTTCTGCAGGAGAGTGCTATCTAAACTTGGTAATTAAAAACATTCAAAGATATACTCACCAAGGTTGCCAACTCAAGAAATTATTTCTTACAGACAATCTGCCATTTCCTACTGACAGATAAACTTTTTGATTATTATTGACACGTATTTTTATGACCAGTAAGAAATATTTCTTGGGCTGGCAGCCCTGTGAAACTGCAGCAGTGATTTTACAGCCTACTTCCCACACCACAGGGGTCCCCTACCCACCCCAAACACTGATACTCCCACCTGCCCCCACCCCCAGCCTGATCCACTCCCCTGTCACACCCACTGTCTCTCCTAGCCCACAGCTTCACCCTGGCAGCACCACCCTCCTCCCTGCCTGTACCTTTGATGCAGACAGCTGTTAGATGCAGAGGATGAGCATAGAGACCCAGTAGCAACACACTGCTATAAGGAAGGGGTGTGTGTGCTGGGGGAGGAGGGGTCTTGTCCAGCAGGCTCCTGGGAGATGCAAAGCCCTGAGAAGAGCTCAGCATGTGCAGGGGCCTGTCCTTCCACTTAGCAGGTGGTACTACTGTGCTCTGTCTGTCTTTCAGTGCTGCTTCAAATATTTCCTGCGACAGAGCTTAAAGCTGTCATGACTCTATGTTTTTATGGAGGGCAAAATATTCTTATGGATTTTCATAAACAAGCATTTTTAGGGTGTCTTTTTTATGGAGCGTCCATAAATTAATGTACAGTTGTCAACCCTGGCACTCACCCAGCCTGGAAGAACTATCTGAAAAGTTCACATTATCAATCAACAATCTCTCCATGCTATGAATATTTCCAAAGCCACTGGGCATGATGTTAAACACATTTTGACCATTCTGTACATACACTGATAATCCCTTTAAGCAGGTGAATTTGTCCAAATTTGTAAAAAGCAATTCTGAAAGACAAAGTAAAACAAATAATGACACTGGTTTACTCTTCTTGATCTTGTCCTGTTCTCTCTACCCAGTCCATAACAATACAGATTCCTTGATAAAACTTTCTGCTGGAAAAGGGCTCTTAATGGAAAACTACCTCCACTAAAATGGTCCCCTATTCACTCCACACCTTGACAACCCTGACTTCCCCCTATTTCATGCCCCCCAGCCTGATCCACACTGCCCCCACTCCCCCTTGTCCTGGGATGGACCCCGACCCACTGCCTCTCTCCCTTGCAGCTCTGTCCCGATGGCATAAAGAATTGCATCTGTGCATTTCAATGGGAGCTTCAGAAACCTTTCACAGTTGAGAGTGTAAGCCAAAAAACCCCAAAACAATTAAAAAAAAACCCACCCAAAAACAATATAAGGCATGAGTGGGCTTTTTTGTTTGTTTTTAAAAAGTAGCATATCTTTAATTCAGTGGTGTTCAACCTCCACAGCCATGGCTCCCCCTGCCACCAAATTTATGAATCTGTGGGGAGCCCTGCAAACCAAATGACATAGTCCTGCACTCTGGATTGCACCAGCGCACAGGGTTGGTCCACAGCCAGATCTGATGTGCTGGATCACACCCATCAATCACACTGGCTCCAGCCTGTGGATTGGCCCTGCACCACTCACGTAGCCTGCAGGACTGAAAGGTTGAGCACCAGGGCTTTAATCTATTGTGCAGGAAAATGTACCTTGTGGGTAACTATGAACACTCCCGTTTACAAACCAATTGGTTATTCCACTCAAATATTGGGGGATAGATTTAGAAATGGCACCTCAGAATGGAAGATAAATTTTACCCCGACTACAGTTTTTTCACCACCACCCTTAGAATTCATTTTAACTGAATGGCTCTTTAAGCTTTATGGATTTAAAAAAAAAACCCAAACACCCACAAAGAGAAAAGCAGCTAGACAGAAAAAAAACCTCTAGTCAGTTAACAATCACTGGACTGTACCTGGCACTTTGGCTTCTTCCTTTATCTCAAGAGATTCCACTGAAGACATAGACAGAAGTAGCTCTTGTTCTGCTACACTCAAGTTAACATTACACAGGCTGCATTTTTTAAACAATTCCTTGTGCTGTTCAAGAGCTGGTCGGATACTTTCAACCAGTCCTGGACTATCATTTAGGCAAAGCTCAATATTGCCTGAAATAGAGAATAGTACCATAAGGTTCCTAAGATCGGCTTCTTCCAAAGAACTAATGGCATTGGCTACAAGTTTCAGAGCTGAAATCTTTGCACAACCCTTTGCAAGTATGAAAGGAGCCATAAGAGAGTCTGGCAGAAATCTAGAAACCAGTGAAAAAAAGCTATTCACATTATTCTCAAGTTCTTTCATCCTCTGTGACATATCATTAAGATTTATAAATGCAGAAGCATAATCCTTGTCAATCGTTGGAACCTCCAGTTCAGAGGGATGAATTCCTATGTCTGAAAAAGCAGATTTTGGTTTGTATTTTTTTCCATGTACATTTAAGTAAAAAGTACTGGGAAAAGACAGGCTTTCTGGAAAATCGAGAAAAAACTGCAGCAAAAAACTGTACTGTGACACTAATGTGCCAAAAGAAAATGTTTTTCCTCTAAGAAACTCAAAGATGGCTGGGGCACACATTGCAACAG